GGGTCACCCGATTCATAACAGTAGCAAAATGACAGTTATGAAGTAGCAACGAAAATAAGTTTATGGTTGTGGGGTCACCACAACATGAGGTACTGTATTAAAGGGTCCCAGCATTAGGAAGGTTGAGAACCACTGACCTAGAAGATTAAAACAACTGTTTTTTGGACTCAAAAGGGACCTTCTCAAAGAACACCAGATGATCATGGGAGCTGGTTAGGAAGAAGTTTCAAGAAAATTGAACATTGCATTGGTTGAATAACCATTGTGGAAAGTGGTGTCTCAAACAACTGGGATTAGGAAATCCATAGAAGCCAGCAATACCTCTGCTGGGCATACCCCCTAAAGAAGTAAGAGACATATGCACTCCTGTGTTCATCACAGCACTACTCACAATAGCACGAAGTTATAAACAGTAGATGAATGGGTAAGGAAACTTCTTTATTCACAAAAGGAACACTATGCATCCCTAAAAGAACACTCAGGAATCCGCGAAGCACCTAACGATATGGGTAGATCTGGAGAATGTAATCTGATCAAAGTTAATCAATCCAAAAAGGACAAACATTGTATGAGACCACTACTGTCAAGATAAATGCCAAGAAAAATACTTGTATAACAAAGGAACAGACTTTGGAGGGTGCTGAAGGTAACAGAGGGAAGACGAAGCAATGGACAAGAGGTTGGACAGGTACGATGAAATGTAAGCCTGACACACAATTCACAATAAAACTAATTCTCAAGGGAAGGAATAAAACTTCGTTGTTGACGAGAGGGCCAGGAAAGGTGTGCTCAGGAATTGTTTTCCATCCTAACAATGCCTCGGTCTACTCTGCTAGGGTAGAAACGGTTGTCCTCTGAGAATTTCACTGGGGAATCTTACCTGATCCACCCTACAAGCCCTGATCTTGCTTCTTCAGATTTCCTTATGTCCCCAAAGCTCAAAGATCATTTAAACACGTTTGAAAAAATGTCCTTCAAGATACGAGAGATTAAACAAAAAAGCAGACATTTTGATAGATACCATGTGAAGATCACTAATGAGCCAAGGAACAAGGACTTCCTCCAGAGCTGACAAAGAGTGAAAGCCATCCCCTCGAGTTGGTACCCTGAATTCACACTTCTAGCCTCCTACACCGTGAACAAAATTTTCCCCCTCTTTTTAAAGCCACTCACTTTTGATATTTTGGCAGTAGATACCTAAGACACCATCAGGGCCTAGATTAGATCTCTGAACTTTTCTTTTTACAGCTGTACTTTATAGAGTATATCTCTTCTTCACTTATTGATCATCCCGTTATGACCATTGTGAAAATTACTCTCTGATGATTTTGTGCGTTAATGTTGTATGTCCGACGGTAATGAATGCAAGGTGAGACTAATACTGGCTGTGCTGGTTAAGGTCATATGTCACCTTAGTTGGGCTGTGATTCTCAGTGATTTGGCAGTTTTCTGTTGATGTAGTCATTCTCCATCTTCACATCCCCCTGATTCTTTGCTTAACACCCTAGTCTTTGGACCCTAACCATGTCCATAACTGAAGCTTTGGTATACTTTACTTTTTGCCTGGACTTCTCTTCATCCTCCCTTTTTCATTTGATGAGAGGAATGTGGGACTTGGTACTCCCATAGAGAGCGACAGGCTTGCAAACTTAGAGGGGCAGTTCTAATCTGTCCTGTAGGGGCACTGTGAGTCTGTATCTACTCGATGGCAAGGAGTTTGGTTTCTGGTTTTCTCCCATTTGATAAGTTGATCCTTTCATTCATTAATATCTACAATATGCCAGAGATGATACTCTCATGGTGAGTGTGGAAAAAATGAATCAAGAAAATTCTTGTCTGGTATTATCCTTCCTAGTTTAATGGAATGTTGATATACTGCAGTACCTGAAATACGTTCGGTACAAATGCTAAAGAACACAAAAGAATGTCTCTGCCTATGTCCCTCAGGCAGAGTTCCTGCATTCAGAACATAACTGGTTAGGGGGTAGGTCATGTAAAGGCTGGAAGACTGGAAAGGTCAGGAAGAGTGAGGGGCGAGGAAGGACAGCAGATGAGACTAGAAGGCATGTTGGACACAGCACTTGGAGTCCCAAGACTAGATAGCTCTCTAGCTTTGTAACTTTTCCAAGCTTTAGTTCTCAACCTTACAAGGCTATTGTGAAATGCAGACATACACCGAAAGTGCCTCTCCCGTAAATCCTCAGGGAAAAGGGAAAATCCCTGACACGGATATCTTACAGCTCCTGGCATATGCCAGACTCACCATGGTCGGCAGTGCGAAACCACCAGCAGTTCTGCAGAAGAAAGACTGGGCTTTCTTTATCCCTGACCAGTTACAGGCTTGGAAGCCCACTGAGTAGTCGCTGTCAGTCAACACTGACTAGATGGCAGTGTGTGGAAGGTGCTCTTGTTTATCATGCTAAGTTCTTTGACTTGCTGTAGGCAGTGCGGGGTCATGGGTGATTTTAAGCAAGTCTCATCAGCTTGACATCATAGAAAGAATTAGAGTTTACCAGAGAGGAACTACTTTATGACAGCAAAATAATTAGTTAAATTTTAGACATAGTGAATTTGAGTCACAAGCATGTACTTTGAGCCATGAGCCCAGTAAGGCCTGAGGCTGAGTGTTGACCTTGTTTACTGAGTCCTTTTAACCTGTACTCAGATAGGAGCCCTGGTGGCAGAGCAGTGACGCACTCACCTGCTAACAGGTCAGCAGTTCCAACCCACTGGGTGCTTCTTGGAGAAAGTGGTGGCAATCTGTGTCCAAAAAGATGACAGCCTTGGAAATACCCATGGGCAGTTCTGATTTGAACTGCCCCGTTGCTCTGAGTCAAGACCGACTCCATGGTCGAGGGTCTACAGTTGACTCCCGAGCAATAGGTGGGATTGGGGCAATGACATCCACTCCCTGCCGTCAGAACTCTGTATCCAACTTTGACTCCCCTAAAACTTTACCAATAGCCTACTGTTGGCTGGAAACCTTACCAGTAACTTACTTGAGTAACACACATTTTATATATGCATTATGAATTGCATGTACATAAAAGCTTTATTTAGGATTTTGGGAAAAGTGCAAGCTTTTTTCGCTTGCAGGTGGAGCTGAAGTGACGGTGTCACCAATTTCCTTCTTTACAAAGATCTTTATGCTGCATTTATTTTCTCGAGGTGGCCAGGAGCAGCACCTGGAGCCTTAATCGACTGTACAGAGCAAGCTATTCAACTTGATGTTCCTGTGCACCTTACCATTACTAGTGGCACTTCGTATGGTCCCAGGCTGTTATTAAGGATTCTAGGGATTTCACCCCATAAAAATACATGAGAACAGCAGTGTTCGCTTTTTACTGTGATGTGTGATTTGCTATTTACTGGAGATATGAACTACTCACACAGGGTAATTAGCCTTATGTGGCGTCTTAAGGAAACTCTATGTAAAAGTTCAGACTCGTGTTGTACAAATGTCGACTGTACTTGGCTTGCTCACCATTAAAAAACACGAGAGAAGTCTTTCTGTCTCATTCTATCACCCCTGGAGTCTAGTCCAGTGCAGATCTGTGTCCAGGGGTCTGTGTTTCTGTCTTGTTAAAGAGACGTGTGGTGTAGATGGCACATTTGGGGGCATGCTGTTACAGCTAGGAATGCAACTCTGTATGGGTACTTTTGGCCACTTGGATCTTCTCTAGGATGGGCTGCGAGGATCCCAGTTCGGATAAGCACAATCTTCCGTAGTGGATTATTCTTGTCTTTCTGGTTCAGATGTGCTATGGGATAGGCCCGTCTGTTAAGATCAGTGCCGGTGTAGAGTGGCCACCAAAGTTCAGCCTAAGCTCTTATGAAGCAGCCATTCTGCTGCCTTCCTTATGTTGACTGTCTAAAGCAGCGGTTCTCAACATGGGGGTCGCAACCCCTTTGGGGGTCGAACGACCCTTTCACAGAGGTCGCCTGATTCATAACAGTAGCAAAATTACAGGGATAAAGTAACAACGAAAGTAATTCTATGGTTGGGGGTCACCACAACATGAGGAACTGTACTAAAGGGTGGCAGCATTAGGTAGATTGAGAACCATATCTTCTTCAAAATACTGCTTTAAAATGGCTGCTTACCAATACTTCTTCAAAATGGCTACCTCAGTGGTTTTTAACAGTCGGTGCCTGCGTGCCACACACCCATACCACACATGCTCACTCACAGGATCATTAGTGGCTACCAGTCAAGGCTACAAAATCTCCTTATTGTCGCTTGACCTGATCTATACATTAGTGATGCCTGTCCAGTTCCTCCATGCATTTGCATATCATTTGAGAATAAAATGGACCTCACCCTCTGGAGCAGTGTCCTCTTTTTTGTCATGGAGCTCTCAGGGATGATGTGGAATTCAGAGTGAAATGAGGCAGCCCTGGGGCTCCTGTCCAAAGCAGCGGGTTTTTAAGGAGTGGTTTCCCCCAAAACATGTATACTTGCAAGAATTGCATTAGACTGATGTTTGTATCCATTTTTGTTTCAGCACTACTTGTCCTATAGAATTTATAGGGCAGAAATTAACTTTTTACACTTTAAGTGAACTGCGTTAGCTCTTAAGAGACTTACATTGTGGGTAGATCATAAGTATTAATAGAATCTTCATACTTATTTTCTAATCTGTAAAACCAGCACCAAATAGATTGAACCTTTCTTGTTTTGAATACTTGTCCAATCTGACTATTTAAATATAAATGTGCCTTTATTATATGTGGACCACTGGGAGTCTTGACAGCAATTCACCCTTGAGTTCTGCCAGCCCCCAGGCTAATTTCTATTGCTGTGGGAATGGTTTGTCTTTCTCTTTCTTAACTAACATTTTGTTGTTTATAATGCAGAGAATTGGGATGTGTTAACTGTTTTGGGCAGGAGGTTTGTTGTTTTTAAGTAACAAGCTGTTTCTAGAATTTGTTATAAGAGAAGTAAAGTTCAAAGTTTTTTATTTCTTAACTGAATAATTCGTTATACTATGTCGTTTCAGTTTTTGTTACTATGGCAATGACGGCAGGGACTACACCCACCTTTCCTATGAGCAACCATACTCGGGAGAGAGTGACTGTGGCCAAGCTCACGTTGGAGAATTTCTACAGCAATCTAATACTACAGCACGAGGAGAGGGAAACCAGGTACATAGGCTAACCAAGATTCCCTGCATCATTCTGTAAGCCGTGTGCCGTGCATGGAGTGCAAGCTTGTTTTCCATGCAGGCAATGGTAGCTCCCTGCCTGCAGCTTTAAGTTTCCTCAACTGACCTAACAGTCCACCTCATTACTGGTTTTGAGTTCAAAAAGTAACTTCTTGAGCGACCAAAAGTCCTCTGTACTCATGTACGTAGATCAATTCATTTGATGGTTTAAACAAAATTGTTCCTGCCATGAAATTAAGTAATACATTTCTTTTTAGAGGAATGCTACGTGAATTACTGGCTTTAAATTAAAAGACGTTTAGTGTTGTGTGTCTTTGAGTTGGATGGCAGAATAAAAGACAAATGACTTTGTCTTCAAGAAACGTATCGCAAATAAGAATGAAAATTATCACTAATAGAAGGGCGAAGAAGGGGGAGACTGCCTTTGTGGAAAACCGTTGAGAAGGTACCCTAAGTGGTGGTGGAATTTGAAGACCTTAAAGGCAGAGCACTCCTCACACATTCATACGAGGAGGAAGAGCTAAGTGAGCTGGAGGCAGAGTTTCAGAAACCAGTGCTGGGTAGGGCAGCGTCTCACGTAACACAAGCAAAGCAAGTGCTGGATTTCAACATTTCAAAGGAGGTGTTCTCAGGCGGTACAGAGCTGGCAAGCAGAACAGTCCAGTGGTCACAAGTGGTCCTCTGGAAGAGAACTTTAGTGACTTTGTGTAGAAGGGATTGGGGGAAGGAGAGATTAGAAACAGCGATGGCTGGAGATGTGCCCCAGGTGAATGGAAAGGCACCTTGGACTAGAATTGATGACAAGAGTAGGGGAAATGGCAGGTGAGAAAGAGGAACAAGTCATGACAGCTAACTGAATATGAAAAGTGACATAAGTAAGTTCATCTTGACTTTGAAATTTCATTTTGGGCACCTGAGAGAGGATAGTGATCTAAGTTAGGAAATAGGAACAAAAGCAGAAAAGTCTGATTTCAAATTTGGCTTTGGACATAGCACATTTGAGATTTTAGAAAGACATTTAGGTGGCATGAACTTTGAACTCTTGACTGGATAGATAAAGAAGAGAGTTAGGAATTTGAGAAATAGATGTGCCAAAATTAAGTAACTAGTATGAGGGTGGCAGTTGACAACTTAGAAATTCATTCTAGTAAAATGATGAACTGGGTGCCTAGATCAACCCTTACACTGAAACCAACTTACATTTTAAATGATTAAAATAATCAGCGGTCTTGTCGAACCAAATAAACATAGGAGCCTGAAGAATAAGTACGGTAAGCAGAGGACTGAAACCTAGTGCTTTCCAGGAGGGTCTGCGTTGAACCAGGTGAACTTCAGCGTTTGTTTTCAGAGCTCAGGAAAGAAGACACAATAGACTGTGCTCACTGACTGGGGAGTCGACTTGGAGATGGCCCCGGGGTATGCCGGAGCCACATGGGTAAATGTGGTTTCTATACCAGAGACCTGTTTCTGCCCTGCTCACATCCTGCAGCTCAGCCTCCTGGCTCACCACTAAGCTTATTCTCCTTGAAGCCACTGTCTCAGAGGGCTGTACCCTCAGTACATTTATAAAGGTAAACCAGAAATAAATCCTCTGGGGATGAACCAGAAATAAACTTACCTTCCTCCCTCCACACACATAATCTGTACCCCCAGGAAAAAAAATTACCAATTACCAGCTCAAAATACTCTGCTGAGAAGACACAAAGCAAAGCCGTTCCCTAAGAATTTGTAACCACATCCTGGTCCTCCCATGGATTTGTAGTCCAATGCTATATAACGGATGGTGCCAAAATTTTAAGTTGGGTTAGCAAACCGATGGTGCCACTATGGGCCTCTGAGAAGACAGTGCAAATCACAGGTGCTACCTTTACCACAGACCCTGAGGAAGTTCCTCTCATACAATTCTAAAATAAGGAATCATTTATAGTTTATCAGAAAATTAATCAAGAAAGTTCCACACTATGAACAAGAGCCTGCAGAAAGTCTCTAAAGAAGTAAGAGAACCTGGTATGTATAAGTTAGAAAATAATGAGTTTTGAAAAAGAGCCACACCTTTCTTTAAAAAGCAAAAGATTACCTGACTGAGCATTTGCACTTCTAGGCACATGCTCAAAGTAATGGAATTCAGTAAGATGCAGATACTTGGACATCAGGTTCGTTGCATCACTATTCACAGTAGCCAAAAAGTAGAAGCAACCCAACCATCCCATCAGCGGATGAATGGATAAGCAAAATGGTGTGTGTACACATTCAGTTATTAAGAAAAGTGAAGTCCTGATAATGTACTGCAAGAATAATGAACCTGTGAAACATTAAGATAGAGAAACAAGTCAGTCGCTAAAGAACAATGATTGTGTAGTATCACATAAAGGAAAGACAAGAACAGGCAACTGTTTATCTGGTTGCCAGAGGTGGAAAGGAAGAGACAAGAACAGTTTATTGCTTTAGGGACACTGAGTTTCTGTTAAGGGAAATGGGGAGAGGTAATGAATAGTTACACACCTAATGGATGTAATTAACGTTTCTGAATTGTACCGGTGGAAAAATGTTGAAATGGCAAATATTATATGTATTTTTATCACAATTAAAAAGAAACCAGCAGAGCTCCTAGAAATAAATGAATTGAAATCTCAATGGATAGGTTTAATTGCAAATTAAACACCATCGAGGAATTAGTGAACTAGAAAATAAAGTTTAAGTAATTATTCATAAGGCAGCTTAGAGAAACAGTGGGAAAACAAGAAAATAGTTCAGCATGGTGAATAGTGAGATGTAAGCTAACATATATCTAATAAAAATTCCTTAAAAAGACAAAATGAAGCAAGAGCCAGCAAAGACGAGGTCACTAGCAGGAAGGTCAAAGGTTGAAGCACGGCAGAGGGAAAGTGGTCGCAGGGGCAGAAGTTGCAGATTAGGAGATATGTCTGCATAGAAGTGGACTGTCACAGCAGCAGTTTAAAACGTCTCACGTTTTCAAAACAGAATCAAAATGTTCTTAGAGATCTTTGTATCCCTCTGATATAAAGGGGAAAAGAAAACTGATTGAAGTTCAGACTTGCTAGATTAAGTACACATGTAGGGTTTTTTTTGTGTTTTGGAAGTTGAAACCTTGGTGGCAGGTTGATTACATAGGACCACTTCCATCATGGAGGGGACAACGTTTTGTTCTTACTGGGATAGACACCTACTCTGGATATGGATTTGCCTTCCCTGCACGCGATGCTTCTACCAAAACTACTATTCGTGGACTTAC